CACTAGTACGTTCATATTCTTCCAAGAATGAATATGTATTCATAAATCAGATGTTGTCACATTCACATCATGAATGGACCATAATCATCTATTTGTGCTTTATAAAATCTCATGTCAAATCAATGACAAATATTACTTTCACAAAGTGAAGGATTATTTTGAGAATCCTTATTATTCTCATTATCACAATGATGACGATTATAATTTCGTCTATTGCCACGTCCACATCCATTGATACCTTCATGGTAATAATTTTATCTTCTTTCAGACTTATCACATATTGCTTCACATTCTCTTAAGGGAATGAGAATGGAGCAAATTCAGTGGGACGGGTTTTCACTTCTTGTGCTCACGATCATACATGACTTTGATCATGGCAAGACATAGAAATTTTACCACTTCGAGTGGTTATAATTTCTTACTAACTCCATTAGAGTTATAATCAAAATTTTCTTTGCTTGTATTTAAAATCAAATTATAGAATAAAAGAGAAAAATACGGTAAAATACATACGTTAAATTCAGAATTTAATCATGAAGAAAGTTCATGGAACAATTGACAATCATTATGCTCAACCCCAAAGCTTCTACCCAAGTGGTTAGAGTCTCGTGTTGATAACGTGTTATGAACAATAAAAGACAGAAGAAGAATATTGCAGAGAAAAGTGGGGAGAGAGAATTATTACTGATTTTGGGATGAATTACATTGGAATATAACCCCTCTATTTATAGGGGAAAAAATAACTTAGCCACCAAGTAACAAACCCTAGAATCACTCTAGAATATAGACATTCACCTTAAATAGAATTCTATTTATAACATATAATAATTAATAATATGCACGATTGATAGAATTTTAAAATCATTTGGTTAAAATAGTTATAGCTAAAAGTTTTACACATCTTAAATTATAGTTACTAGTTGTTTCTTATCTTTAATTCGTCCCAACTTAAATCGATCTTCTTAGAATGTTAGTTTAGAATAATTTTTCTTAATTCTTTGAGTGCCTTTGTAGACATTTTTCAAACTACTTTGATAAGTAACTATTAAAATTCGTCTTTAAAGTTGAATGACCCTTGAAACATAGTAGTTACTACCGTATTATTTGTTTCAACTTATATTTAGAATTAAAAGTGTGCTAATAGAAATTGTTTAAGTAGAAGAATACTCTAATCGGCAAACTTAATCAGGTAAAAAGTGTTAATTCAATTACCGTTAATAATTTTTATATTAGTTGCCTCGGTTGAAAAAGTTTTTTAAAACTAAATCGATAAAGTTCAACATGATAAGACAAGAGAGATTAAACAAATTGATTAAATATTGACAATAATTAAAACTGATTATATCTTCTTTAGATTTCGATAAATTATAAGAGAAAAAAAAAATTAAGGTCTCACTTTTTATTTTTGCCTTAGGCCCCATATTATGTCAAGCCGCTCCTGTATTTTATATATAATCATAGGCTTTGTAATTGGCTAAGATCTCCTGATATGCTTTTTAGTTGGTCGCTAATATGTTCTTAATCTGCCTATGGGTATCTTTAATAAATTGTGTGAAGTTCTCCGTGAGATAGCTACCCAAAATTTTGTTCGATTAGAAGAAATTCTATTGTGGAGATGGATTTTCAGTCACATTTATAAAATTCATACAAACTACGAAGGAAGAGGAAAACTGAAAATGCCAAGAACAATTAGTAAAAGCCTCTTTTTTTCCTTGTTACTGTGCTCAACTAATACATTGATTGTCATGCTAAACTTCACAGGTCATGCCCTTGCACTTGATATCTTATGATGATAACAATAATAAAGACCTCTCAATAAAATTCGTGGCCTAAAGCTAAATTTTAATAAGGGGCTTTTCTTTTTCTTTTTTTCTTTTGATTTATACTTTAGCTATCTTACAAAATATGATATTAATATTTACATTGAATTTTTTTCTTTTTGTCTATAATTTAGTTATCTTATAATATATAATACGCGTACTAATATTTATATTGGTAAGAAAATTAAAGTTACTAAGATGTCACCCACGTATTTAGAATGTGTTACCACTATGAAGATTCAAGTAGCTTAATTCAGAGTCCTAAAATATTTCTATTGTTAAAAAATAGACAATATTTCTTTCTATTTTTATAAGAAGTTTGTATAAGCTTCAATATTACAACAACAACAACAACAATACAGTAAAATTTCACTAGTGGGGTCTGGGGAGGATAGTGTGTACGCAGACCTTACCTCTACCCCGAAGGAGTAGAGAGGTTATTTTCGAAAGACCCTCGGCTTAAGAAAATAAAAGACAAAAGGAGACAATATTAGTATCACCACGGAAATCATAGAAAAAATAGGGACAACATGAAATCTAGAAAAAAGATGCAAAGCAAAAGCGAAAGCCAGTAAATAAGTCCTGCACTGAAATGCGAAATAGTAAGATAAAACATTGCTACTAGCTATCTTAGACAAAAATCCTACCAGACTAGTCTCACAAAGGTACGAAGTAAGGCAAGACTCAACCACCTCCAAACCTACTACCCTAATACTCGACATCCACATCTTGCTATCAAGTGTCATGTCCTCGAAAAGCTAAAGCCTCGCCATATCCTGCCTGACCACCTCTCCCTAGTACTTCTTAGGTCGCCCTCTATCTCTTCTCGTGCCCTCCACAACTAGCCGGTCACACCTCCTTACCGAACCATCTGAGCTTTCCTTCCCGCATCTTGTCATCAATGGGAGCCACGTGCACCTTCTCCCAAATATCATCATTCCTAATCTTATCCATCCTAGTGTGGCCGCACACCCACCTCAACATCCTCATTTCTGCTACCTTGATCTTCTGGATATGTGAGTTCTTAACAGGCCAACACTCAGCCCCATACATCATGGCCTATCTAACCACCGCTTTATAGAACTTACCTTTGAGTATCGGTGGCACTCTCTTGTCACACAGGACTCCAGATGCTAACCTCCACTTCATCCATCCTACCCCGATACGGGGGTTAATTTCACAGATGGTCACTCAACTATATTTCAATTTCACTAAAGTCACTCAACTATTTTTTGTCACTTAAAAGTAATTAAACTTTCACATTGTCACTAAAAAGTCATTTCGACTCAAACCCCTACTATAAATATGACATGGCATAACATTTAGTGAGAAAAATCTAAAAATAAATGTCACATAAGCTTAAATGGATCATACCCACTTTAGATCCATTTCTTCCTTAATGTGATTTGACCCATAACCGAAATACTTTCAATAAAAAAAATATTAAATTTCACATTAGTTTAAAATGATTATCCTATACTACAAAATTCTTGCCTTTTCTATTACATAATACTCATTTATAATTATTCTATACTAAAAAATTCTTATCTTGTTTGTATGCCCCATCCGAGTCGTTTTATAACTCTAATGAAGTTAAAATACTACTATATCCAACTCAAATAACATATTTATAACTTTTTAGTGAAATTAAAATAGTATTGTATTCATCTTACATAACATATTAATGTATCATAAGCATACAAGAATAATAATAAGGCTTATATGAATCTATTTTCACAAAACATGCACTTACAGACAACCTATTGCAATTGTTTAGACAAAAGAAATATTGTATTTGTACGATAAAAACCCCACAAAAAAATCACAAGAACTAATTTTATTAGGAGTGTGTGTTTTTCCCCTATTGAAACCCATTTGGGTTATGGGTCAAATCACATTAAGGGAGAAATGGATCTAAAGTGGGTATGGTCTATTTAAGCTTATGTGGCATTTATTTTTATATTTTTCTCATTAGATTTTATGCCATGTCATATTTATGGTAGGGGTTTGAGCCAAAATGACTTTTAAGTGACGATGTGAAAGTTTAGTTACTTTTAAGTGACAAAAAATAGTTGAGTGACTTTAGTAAAATTGAAACATAGTTGAGTGACCATCAGTGAAATTAATCCCCCAATACGGTGTGTGACATCCTCGTCGATCTCCCCTCCCTCCTGGATAACCGACCCAAGGTACTTGAAGCTGCCACTACTTGGGATAAACCTGTGATTCAAGCCTCACATCCACGCCCACTTCCCCCGGCTCAGCGCTGAACTTACACTCCAGGTATTCCGTCTTCGTCCTGCTCAGTTTGAAACTCTTAGACTCAAGAGCATGTCTCCAAACTTCCAGCCTCTCGTTAACACCGGCTCGCGACTTATCAATCAGAACTATGTCGTCGGCGAATAGCATGCACCATGGCACCTCCCCTTGTATATGGTGTGTTAACGCGTCCATCACCAAGGCGAATAAGAACGGACTGAGCGCAGAACCTTGGTGTAACCCCCATTACAACGGAAAAGTGCTCAGAGTTACCTCCTACTGTCCTAACCCGAGTCTTAGCCCCATCATACATGTCCTTAATCGCCATAATGTAGGGAACCAACACACCTTTTGCCTCCTAGCATCTCCAGAGAACTTCTCTAGGAACCTTGTCATACGCTTTCTCAAGGACAATAAACACCGTGTAGATCCTTCTTCCTCTCTCTGTACAGTTCCACCAACCTCCTAACATGGTGTATAGCTTCTGTAGTAGAACAACCCTGCATGAACCCGAACTGGTTGTCGGATACAGACACTGTCATCCTCCCCTCGCTTCAACCACCCTCGCCCACACTTTCAATCTTGACTAAGCAACTAAGATAGAAAATCACAACTAAAACTTTTTTTGGGGCTCCAAAATTTAGGGACCTATAGCGAAGGCTTTACTAATATTACCCTCAAGCCATCCCTAATAATAATAATAATAATAATAATAATAATAATAATAATAATAATAATAACAATTATTATTGTTATTATTATTATTATTATTATTATTATTATTATTATTATATTATTGGCAGATAGTTTTTAATTGAAAGGAACTTCCAACAATTATCAAATATGAAACGTGAAAGAAAGCAGTTATTCGATGGATCTTCAAACTTATATCCATTAAAAGCCACTGCACTAATCATTTTATCAACCACCTTTTTTGCCGATCCACAGTTGTTGATTGCTTCTAATGGAAGTCCAAAATTCAATGTTTAATTTGCTTGAATATACGAAGGAATGGTTTCGCTTTTAAAGTAGTATAGTCACATTATTCTTTCCTTCATTTGATTTCGGATTCACTATTCAAGTTTATTTGATTTTTGCAGCAGGAAATGATAGATAGAGAGTAAACAGGTTTAATAGAGAATGGGGAATGTCATGGGTACAGTGTTATCAGGTTTTGGGGAAATTCTGGGCAAATTGCTTGGTCATCCACTTGATTTCTTGGCTGGAAAGGCTTGCAGGTAAATGTTTCATTTCCTTCAACAATTTCTAGTCTATTTTGAAATAAAAACTAGGACTCTGTTCTTTAACTGTTTTTTTTTTTTTAAAATTTTTAATTTCCTTTTAAGTGTTGTCACAATTTTATATTTTTGATATTAATGTCTCAGCTCTGTATGTGCCCCAACATGGGATTTTCTATGTTACATAGAGAATTTTTGCATTTCTCAACTGCTGAAATCCACCATGGTATCAATCCTATTATATTTCGGTGAGTTTCTACATTATAATACTTGGTTCTCATGGCTTACAATCTATTCAAAGCAATTTTTAAGGTTTACACACATCACAAACAGAGATTGCACATTGCTCCCAATTTTACAATATTGATTGAATGTTACTTTTATGTAGTAAACAACGAAAAGCTACTCATGTGCACATTGGACCCAATAACCTGTATAAAAAGTTTGCAAAGTTAGTAAAACGATATCACATAACTTCTGGACAATATACCTGGCATGAGGCAGTCGAGAATTTCAAGATGATGGATGCACTTTTGTAAAGAAGTAGATTTAAAATTTATATCTGACGAGTTTCACTTTAGTCTCTTACTATCAAACTCACTATACTTTTAAAATTATAGGTTCAAAATTACATATTTTTTGAAAGTTTAGTGATTATGTATATATCTATAATTTGTGCCGAAAACAAGACCATACGAAGTAGGCTTTGAACCGCCAATTTTACTTGTAGAGGTGCACCCAATAATTATTGCACTATAGGCGTCTTTAAGCATGGGTGCACGCACATATATTTAAGTAAATTTTTAAGAAATATAATATTATTATATATGGTGTAAGGAAAAGAATATGGGTTCACCGTTCACGTGAACCCATACCCTTTAACCTAGATACGCCCTGGCATCACATATATAAAGCAAGAGTTTCAATAGATTAACTATTTTTTGAATATCCGGAATTGAATTGTTATAGGAAAATATATTAAAATAATTTTCGAATGTGCAAAATATCTTAATTTTATCCTCAATTATAATTAAGGGCCATAAATATCTTTGCTGTTAAGTGTTAACACATGACCTCTTATCTTCCTTTAACCCTAATGTTGTTCCAAAATAAAAAATGCTAGAGAGTAATTTTAGATCATAATCAAAAGTAGACGGGCAAATTATACGCAAACATTTGGATCAAGGACAAATAGTAGATGATTTGCTGACAACAAGGATACAATGGACTCAAAGTGTACGTACCGGATGATGAAATTAAAATATTTCACAGATTTTTGGCTTTCGTTGAATGAATTGGTACATGCATATATTTTCTAAAGCACTAACTAACACATGATAGTTATTGGGAGTGATTACATCAAGTTTCCTTTGGTTATGTGCAGTTGTGTTATTCCTCTACTTACTTTACAAGTTGGGAATTTGTCAGTGCATTTGTCACATACTGTGTAGATGTACTTGGGCTTGCTTCTCCACTTGTTTCTCAGTCTTGGATTGCTGTTGCACTTTCCTCTGTTTCAAGTTTCAGCAACTTCTTCTTACACCTAGAAGACGTCAAAAATCTGACATTGAAGGTGAAGGGAGCTTTTCATGTAGAAAAATTGATGGGAGAAGAAGAAGAAGAAGAAGATCGATTAGGGAGCATAGGAAAGAGCATATGAGAAAATCATTGAGGCCAATAAAGAGTCATCGAATGCAAGTGGAGATTGTTAATGATTCTATCCACCCAAAGAAAAAGCTCAAAATTGGGAACAGTAATGAATTTAGGCCTGCTGATCACATTCGAGTGAGTAGAAGACCAAATTTTGCACGAAAAGGAACGTACAAGGGTTCATCACATCATCCATAGAGAAGGCTTCTCATTCATACTGTTTTCTAAAATTTGAAGTTTCTTACTAGTAATATTATGGACATTTTAACCTGTTGTTATATGAAATACTATGTCTTATTTTTCAGTTTAGTAAAATAATCTTTTTTTGAGAGCTACCTGTTAAGATTAATTATTCCCACTCACTTGTTTGTATCATTGTTAGCTTACTTAGAGAGTTAGTTAGTGGTTAGGTTTGGACAGCTGTCAGTTAGCTGCCAGTTCTTCTTCTTCTTAGCTTAGCTTCTTCTTCTCTATATATACTTGTATGTAATAGTTAGTAATTAGTTTTAACAATTCTAAATGAATAAAATCGAAGTTCTCTAGAATGTTCTTCTCCCATCATCGAATGACTTCGAGTCCACAGGGCTAAGCTTCCGGCATTGTTGCTGTTGTATTCCTAGCTCAGCTAGGGAGGAATCTACTGTTCTATTGCTGTAATTTGATATGGTATTAGAGCAAGGTTAGAAACTCCGACTCATTTTTCCAGATCTGTTGAATCTAATTTCGCCACTTTCGTTTTTGTTTTGATCGGGTGCAGGCAGACCTCGATCTCATCGATTTCAATAGTTTTTCCTTGAAATCCTTCATCAGTCTTCTAGTTCTGTAGTTAGAATCCTGTCTTGATCGATTTGTTAAATTTTACGCCTATAAGAAATGGCTAATGATGGAGATGTTGAACAACCTGCACCTACTGTGGCTGAAACTCCCAATCAACCAATTGTTGATACTAGTAGCCCTTTTTACATGCATCCCTCTGATAATCCGGGAATAGCCCTAGTACCTGTTCCATTTGATGGTTTTGGTTATTGCTGATGGAGAAGAGGTGTGATGAGAGCCCTATCGGTGAAAAATAAACTGGGCTTCATCAATGGTGACTGCAAAAAGCCAGATCCAGATTCCTCAAGCTATCGATTGTGGGAGAGATGTGATGATTTGGTGACTTCATGGATTTTGAATTCCTTGGCAGAGGAGATTGCAGACAGTGTTGAATATGTGACAGATGCAATCGAGTTGTGGAAAGAGCTTGAAGATCGATATGATCAGACTAATGGAACAAAGCTCTACCAAATTCAAAAGGAGATTAACGACTTATCTCAAGGAGAACTTGACATTACTGGCTACTATATAAAAATGAAGAAGTTGTGGGAGGAACTCACTACTCTAATTACCAAATCTCATTTCACATGCAATTGCACATGTGGAGCAAGGGAAAGTATGCACAAAGTAGAACAAGATAGAAGGCTAATACAATTCCTTATGGGGCTGAATGAGACCTATACTGTTGTTCGAGGAAGTATCCTCATGATGAATCCTCTTCTCACAATTGCACAGGCCTTCTCATTACTGATTCAAGAGGAAAGACAAAGAGAAATTAAACCTCATAACTACTTAGCTCTTGAGTCATCAGCCCTAAATGTCAACACAAACAGGACAACATCATTCAAAACAAATTACTCACCTAATAACTCTCAAAGCTATAAAAACAGACCCTTCTGTGACTACTGCAAAAGGCCAGGCCACACGAGAGAGAAGTGTTATAAACTTCATGGCTATCCTCAAGGCTCCAATCAAAATCAGAATCCAAAATTAAGCCACATTCAAGCTTCCAATTTCAATCAAAATCCAAAACAAAACTATAACCATGGGAGTAACTCAGGTGTAAGTCAATGTACCAGGTTCTAGGGGAAATAGAGGAGTGACTAATGCACATGTAACAGCCACAGATACTCAACATACAGGTGATGAGAACTATAGTGCTCAAAATGTCAGTCTCACAAAGGAAGAATACAGTTAACTTGTGAATCTACTGCAGCAGTTCCAATCAGGAGGAGGGAGAGACAACTTAGATAATGTCAACACCTCATCAGCAGACTTTGCAGGTATAATAGCTTGCACCTCCTCTATTGATTTTGGGAAACTCTCATGTGAATGTTTCAAAAACAAGACTGATTCATGGATTATAGATTCAGGGGCGTCAAATAATATGACCTTTAATAGATCCTTGCTAACCAATATAATAACCTTTCCTTATCTCCTACTTGTCATTCTTCCAAATGTCTATAAAGTGAAAGTGACTGAGATTGGTAGTGTTGTACTTACTCCTAAGATCATTTTGAATAGGGTGATGTTGGTCCCTTCTTTTAAATACAACCTAATTTCTGTTCATTCTCTAGCTTCTCATCTTAATTGTCTTGTTGCCTTCATCAAGTCCTATTGTATACTGCAGGCCCCTTCAATGAAGAGGCCTCTAGTGATTGGTAGAGTCAAAGATGGACTCTACATCTTGTGTCCAAGGTGCTTGAAGAACAACAGTACAAGTCCTGGAGCAAGTGTCATTGATTTCCTGTCCACTCCTGTCACTCACTGCACTTGTAACACACAGTGTCCACTTCATTCTATTGTAAATACAATATCTCATGCCAATAAGTGTGTTTTCTCATCTTCAATTGTAAATAGTCCAAGTGCAGGTAATGAAAAACAGTTTCTTTCTGAGAATTTATTTTCTAATTGTTCTAGTCCTTCTTCTCATCTGTGTGTTGGAAACCATGTGGATGTTCTGTGGCATAACAGACTTGGACATGTTCCCTTTGTAAAAATGAAAAACATTTCCTCTTTCCCGGTTACCTTTTCCCCCAAACAATCCTTCAATTGCACCATCTGCCCAATGGCTAGACAGGAAAGACTCCCATTTCCTCAGAAAACCAATACAACCAATAAGATTTTTGAACTTCTACATATTGACTTATGGGGACCATATCATGTGCCCACACATGACAAGTATAAATATTTCATGACTATTGTGGATGATTTTAGTAGGACTACTTGGACTCATCCTCTATCCAGTAAAAGCAATGCTTATCAAGTCCTTAAAGGATTTTTCAATCTGGTGGAAAATCAATTTGGAGTAAAGGTTAAAGCTGTGAGAACAGACAATGGGCTGGAGTTCACCAACACAGAGACAAACATACTATTTCAATCCAAAGGTATCATACATCAAAGAACTTGCCCTTACACCCCACAACAAAATGGGATGGTGGAGAGAAAATATAAATACCTCCTTGAGACAGCTAGGGCTCTCCTCTTTCAGTCTAAATTGCCCCAAAAATATTGGGGTGAATGCATTCTCTGTGCAACTTTCATTATAAACAGGTTGCCTTCCACTTCTATCAATGACCAAACTCCATATGAACTGTTATAAAAGAGAAAACCAAAGTACTCTCACCTAAAGAGTTTTAGGTGCCTGTGCTACCCCACTGTACCTAAGCCTCATAGAGACAATTTTGAACCTAGAACAACACCACACGTTTTTGTTGGATACCCCTACAACACAAAGGGATACAAAGTCCTAACTCTGGCCACTAGAAAGATCACCGTTTCCAGAGATGTAGTTTTCAATGAGTATATCTTCCCATTTGCAACTAATTTGGATATGTCTCCCCAATCTAATGTCCCTCATTCAATTCCTTTTATTGAACCTTCTGACAGTACAAACATTACACAACAAACATATGACTATTTGGGTGTTCAAAGGAGTAATGTTGAGAACACAACTAATCTCATGTCACCTACACATGGTCATTCTTCATCCATGACACCTAATTCTCTAGCACAACTTTCACCACAGGATCATACTGAACAACCTCATGCAGAACCTATACAACTGAAACAGTTATCAAGAACACATAAGGCACCTAGTTACCTACAATACTATGTACATTCCCTGCCTAAACTTAAACCAAACACCAACTCCCTTAGTGCACTGTTTTCTATAAACCACCATGTTGCCTCTGATCTACTAACTCCTAATAGTCAAGTTCTTGTAAGAAATGTTTGTGATGACAGGGAACCATCATCATATGAGGAAGCAGCCATTGATCCTGCATGGCAAGATGCAATGATGCTCTATATTCCAATCACACTTGGGACCTGGTAGATCTGCCACCAGGAAAACAAGCAATAGGATGCAAGTGGGTTTACAAAGTGAAGCATAAAGCTGATGGTAGAATAGAAAGGTTCAAGGACAGATTGGTTGTGAAAGGCTACACACAACATGCAGGAATTGACTACACAGAGACATCCTCCCCAATAGTGAAGATGACAACAGTGAGAGCATTAATAGCCACAACAGTGCAGAAAGGTTGGTGCATATCCCAGCTGGATGTAAACAGTGCCTTCCTCCATGGAGACCTTAATGAGGAAGTATATATGCAAGCCCCTCCTAGGCTTTTTGTGGACAAACCTGGACTAATATGCAAACTAATCAAGTCTCTCTATGGTCTTAAACAAGCCAGTCGGAGTGGTATGCAAAATTGACTGAGGCTTTATGCTCAAAAGGTTACACACACTCCATGAATAATTATTCACTCTTTTACAAGAAAAATGGAGATTCATTGGTGTATGTTGCAGTATATGTTGATGATGTGTTACTTACTAGAACTGATAAAGAGGAAATCAAACAGTTGAAAGACTTTTTGCATGAACAGCTCAAGATCAAAGATCTGGGAGAATTGCATTTTTTCCTAAGACTGGAACCGATGTATAAAGATGATGGTGTGATAATTTCTCAAAGGAAGTTTGTGCTGGACATGTTAAAGGAGTATAACTGCCTTGACTATAAGTCTTGTTGCTCACCTTTAGATCCTACAATAAAGCTAAAGCCTAAAGAAGTTACCAAGCCAGTCGGCAGTGGTATGCAAAATTGACTGAGGCTTTATGCTCAAAAGGTTACACACACTCGATGAATGATCATTCACTCTTTTACAAGAAAAATGGAGATTCATTGGTGTATGTTGTAGTATATGTTGATGATGTGTTACTTACTGGAACTGATAAAGAGGAAATCACACAGTTGAAAGACTTTTTGCATGAACAGTTCAAGATCAAAGATCTGGGGGAATTGCATTTTTTCCTAGGACTGGAAGTGATGTATAAAGATGATGGTGTGATAATTTCTCAATGGAAGTTTGTGCTGGACATGTTAAAGGAGTATATCTGCCTTGACTGTAAGTCTTGTTCCTCACCTTTAGATCCTACAGTAAAGCTAAAGGCAAAAGAAGGTACCATTCTGCAAGATCCTACATACTACAGGAAACTGGTAGGAAAGCTAAACTTCCTAACCAACACTAGGTTGGACATAGCATATAGTGTTCAGCACCTAAGTCAATTCATGCAAGAGCCTAGAGAGCCACATTTGAAGGCAGCTTTCCATCTACTTAGGTATCTGAAAGGTGATCCCACTCTGGGAATCTTCATGTCCAAAGACACAGATTGTACAGCTAGAGCATATTGTGATGCTGATTGGGCTAGTTGTCCAGATTCTAGGAGATCCATTACAGGCTATTTGGTGCTTCTGGGAAATAGCCCTGTTAGTTGGAAGTCCAAGAAACAGGAAACTATATCACTGTCTTCTGCAGGATCAGAGTACAGGGCTTTAAGGAAAGTAGTGGGGGAACTAGTATGGTTGAGTAGGTTGTTTGAAGAACTAGATGTCCCCTTTTCAATGCCTATTTCAGTGTATTGTGATAGCCAATCTGCACTTCACATTGCCAAGAATCCGGTCTTCCACGAAAGAACCAAGCACATAGAAGTGGATTGTCACTTTGTGCGCGACCAATTACAAGCGGGGCTAATCTAACTCCACCATATTGGTACAGATAGTCAACTGGCAGATATTCTGACTAAAGCCTTAACAGGTATCAAACATGGTACCATATTACGCAAGTTGGCTGTGTTTGCAACACCTCCAACTTGAGGGGGGGGGGGGGTGTTAAGATTAATTATTCCCACTCACTTGTTTATCATTGTTAGCTTAATTAGAGAGTTAGTTAGTGGTTAGGTTTGGACAACTGTCAGTTAGTTGCCAGTTACCTCTTCCTTCTTCTTCTTACCTTAGCTTCTTCTTCCTTCTTCTTCTTACCTTAGCTTCTTCTTCTTCTCTATATATACTTGTATGTAATAGTTAGTTAGTTTTAACAATTTTAAATGAATAAAATCGAAATTCTCTAGAATGTTCTTCTCCTATCATCGAACGACTTCGAGTCCACAAGGCTAAGCTTCCGCCATTGTTGCTGCTGTATTCCTAGCTCAGCTAGGGATGAAGCTACTGTTCCATTGCTGTAATTTGATACTACCTGTGTTTTCATTTAAGTGATTTAGTAGTATACAATTATTAACATTATTGATATATTGAAGTTAAACTCCTATCATTGTTAGCCTACCTCGTGATGTTTTTTTTCTTACGTAGAGCTGCGGATTAAAAGGAATTCACTTTTTAACCTTTGGTTTCCATTTCTCAGCTAGCATGTCAACTATTATATAACAGGTTGAGTACCACCTCAAAAAGAATGTCATACTATTATAAAGCTGCCAACCATTTTTAGAAGCAGCTGACAGATGAAGCTGTTGTCACGTTAACTTAAATAAAAGGAAAATGGTGTTATCTTGAAGAGAGAAATCATGTGTTTAATATAAAGTCCGTTTTATTAGTCTGTCTCAAAAAAATTTGAGACACGCTTTGTTAGTAGATTGCTTTCAAAACAGAAAATCAGAAACATAAATTGTTAGAACATAAATATGAATTTATTCCAAGCTCACAGAATTCATTGTGTATCCTTAAGGACTTTAGTCCCCTCAGTAAGGCGACAGGCATGAGACTTACATATATTCTTCTCAACTCTATAAGAGCTAGAAAAAGTGTTTCTCTATGAAGCAAAAGAATTTTTCTCTCTTTCCGGTAAGGAACAAACTTCCTCAGTAGAAGTCTTCAAATTTTTTATTTTCCTCTATTTTTCATTCACACTAACTAAAGAAATCCAACACAATTTACTTATTTAATTCGTTTAAACAAGAATGACATATTTTTATATTGAAAATAATTTAATCTTAAACTTTTTATTTTATCCATTTTACTTCTAACGAAAATTTTTTATAGCCATACAAATATTGTGGAATGTTTAAGATCACAAAATTTTAACGTCTTATAGCCGGAAAAAACTAAATATAACATGTTTAAAATCATAATTTTTTAAAGTCATTAGATTTTGTAATGCCTCATAAGTTAAAACGGAGGTAATAACTATTGAGATGAGCTTAATTTATTTTGATGATTAATAAAAATTTGCAAACTACTAGGTCGCTCGAAGTTTGTTGATTAGAAGCTGAAGAGTATTTTCTAGTGCAGGTTAGTTTAAACGATTCCTATTGATAATTGGAGAGATTCTGTTCGTGATCTACAAGAAAATACTAGCTGAAAAAATTTGTGTTTAATACGAATTTTTAATTATGTGAATACTTGCATGAAAAGGAAATCATGTGAAAGAGTCTTTAATTGAAAGAAAATAAAATCCTTTTAGGATTTGTTTTCCTTAAGAGGCGATCGAATTATTTTAAGGTTTGAAGCTACAAATGGAAAATAATTTCGACCAGCCTCACTCCTATATAAAGCTTCATATAGCTAATGTTCAAGGTTACCACTATTTCACAAAAACACATGATTTATTCAAGGCAAATGACAAATTGTAAGGACGGCTTGAGCTCGTTAATGGAGGAAGATTCTAGAGCAGAATTCTATTATTGAGAGAATAAGCAAGCCTAAGCTTTACAGTGTCATACACAATCGATATATACTAGAAGAAGAAGAAGAAAGAAAAGCTAAAAAGACTAAAATACCCTTAACTTACTTATAACAACTAACTACCCTCTTAACTAATTAACTACCCATGTGACTTTCACATGCTTATATCATAATATGCCCCCTCAAGCTGGAGGGTGCAAAATATTGAACACTCTAAGCTTGCCAAGTAGATAATCATGTTGAGCAGCCCCCAAAGCTTTAATTAACAGATCTGCCTGTTGCTACTTAGTGCTGACATGTGTTGTCTTGACCATCTCTTCTTTGATTTTATCTCTAATGAAATCACAGTCGATCTCTATATGCTTTGTTCTTTCATGAAGCACAGGATTAGTTGTTAGTTGAATGGCTGACTTACTATCACTGAGCACTACGACTGATCATTCTATTTCCACACCCAGCTCCTTGAACAAAGCAAGTAGCCAAGTCAATTCTACAATACTTGCAGCCATACTTCTGTATTCTGCTTCAGCTGAACTCCTTGAAACATCATGTTGCTTCTTCGATTTCTTAGAGATCAATGAGTTGATAAACTTGATAGCATAACAAGTAATAGATCTTCTAGTATT